TTTTTATCTGGAAGTTTCGAGATGGTCGCATCATGATTGAAGAAGAAATGTCCAGAGTTGTGACAAAACAGGTGACTGATTTTTCCTCCATGACCACACTGAGTTTTCAGCAGTTTTTGACCAAGAAACTGGAGTATGATCCTGTGCCCCATCCTTCCTATTCACCTGATTTCACCTCAGGTATCTTTTTGTTGTTTCTCAGGATGAAAAAAGTCCTCAAATGGAAAGAGGTGAAGGGAAGAGGGAAGAGTTGAAACAAACAAAACAAAACCAGCACAAGCAAAAAAAAAAAAGGCATCAAAATTGATGAGTTTAAAAACTGATTTGAGCAGTGGCAAAAGTTCTTGACAGGCATATTGCATCAAACAGAGAGCACTTTGAACATGTAAGAACAAACCACAATTTTTTATAAATGAATTCTGGTTCTGGGGGGTCCTGTTTAATATGTGATTTAAACGGGGCCAGGGAAAATAACAGGTCGGTAATAGATATTCCGTGGGAGCTCGCGGCGCGAGGCCCGGGGTCGAGTAGGAGTTGGCGGGGAGGGCTGGATTGAAGGCCGGGGGGCGGCCGGCGGCGGGGCCGTGCGGTGGAAGGGCTGGCCTCTGCGGCCGGAGTCGTCCTGGGGGCGGGGCTGGCCCTGGCCGGGGCTACCCGGCGGCGTCCTGGGTCGGATCCCGCCTCCTCGCCACGTCGTGCCGTCGCTTGTGTCGCCTAAGTGACAACCTGAGACCCCTTGCGAGTCGCGATCCATTGGGAACAGCAGCTTCATGACCTCCTGGGGTCGGTGGTGGCCGGGAGGGTTGTTCATGCGTTCGTTTGATCAATATAGTGTTTGAGATGCCCCCACGACTTTTGTAGCCCTGTTTGTCTCTTTCTTTTTAGTTACTTTTTTCTTTGGAAATCAACTAGGGGCCGGGCGGGGTGGCTCCCACCACTTTGGGAGGCCAAGGTGAGAGGATTGCCTGAGCCACGGGTTCGAGCCCAGCCTGGGCAACTTGGGGAGACCTCGTCTCTGCAATGAATCCAAAAAGGAGCCGGGTGTGGTGGCGCGTGCCTGTAGTTCCAGCTCTTTGGAAGGCTGAGGCAGAAGGTTGAGGCTGCGGTGGCCATGAGCAGCGTGCCGCTGCACTCCAACGTGGACGACAGAGTGAAACCCCTATTCAAGAGAAAGGAAGAAAACTCAACTAGGATTCTTAAATAAGGATCCCAGCATCTCCCGAGCCCTAGGCGCCCCTCCTGGAAAGCCTGGCTCTTCAAGCTGAGGCACTCCCACTCTTGCCTGGAAGGACCTGGGAGCCCTAGGAGACTTTTAGGCAGAGAGATGAGACTCAGATCTCTGGGTTTTAGGGATGGCACCGCAGGTGGTGGTGAAATACAGGCACATGCCACCACACCTGGCTAATTTCTTGATATATTGTAGAGACGAGGTCTCACCGAGTTGCCCAAGTAATCCTCTCACCTCAGCCTCCCAAAGTGCTGGGATTACAAACTTGAGCCACTGCACCCAGCCAGGGCCAAGATTTGAACCTCGCCTGTGCCCCGAATCCCTGGGCTCTGATGTCTGCCCTCCAGTTACACCAGTATTTGGGCACGTTGATGGGACTTTGCAGCCAAGGGAAAGGAAGCCTGGCTAACCCAAGTCTGAGCCCCTAGGAGTCAGGAGATGGTGATACAGAACAGATGAGGAGAAAAATGGCTAGATTCCCAGTAGAAAAGGACCTCAATGGGTTCAATCCAAATCCTCCCCACACTTTTTTTATAAATAAGCAAGTTGAGGTCAGAATGGGGAAGGGATGTCCCAAGTTCCCATGGGGAGGTTTAGGTGTCCTGACTTTCGTTTGAGATGCCAGGCCACTGCGCCTTGCTGAGCAATGATGGGCTCTGCAGCTGCCCTTTGTACAGGCAATATGCCTTGGTAAAAAGCCTTGCCAGTTTCCCCAGCACCATTTACTGAACAGGTTCTTCTCTCCCCAGTGGTTGTTGTTGGAGGCTTTGTCTAAGATGAGTTGGTTGAGGAATTGAGGCTTCGCTTCCAGAATCTCTATCCTGTTCCATTGGTCTATGTGCCTGTTCTTGTACCAATACCAGGCTGTTTTGATTACGATAACCTTATAGTAAAGTTTGAAGTCCGGAAGTGTGATACTTCCTGCTTTGTTTCTTTTGCCAAGAATTGTGTTGGCTATTCGTGGTCGTTTATGTTTCCATATGAATTTCTGTATTGTCATTTCCGGGTCTGAGAAGAATGATGTTGGTAACTTAATGTGTATTGTGTTGAATCTGTAGACTGCCTTTGGTAGGATGGACATCTTAACAATGTTGATTCTTCCCATCCATGAGCATGGAAAATTTTTCCATTTGTTTGTGTCTTCTTGGATTTATTTAAGCATGTTCTCACTCATAAACGGACCTTGAACAATTGTAATACTATAAGAAAGTGTTTGCTCAGGGGAAGGGGGTGGGATTGGCAGTTGAGGGAAACTGCTAGCGGTGGGAAGGGCATACCTCATCGACAAGGATACTTGCATACTCAACATTTGTATACCTAACCCTGAATTGTACCCCACATCTTTATAATAAAAAATTTTTTTTAAAAGTCTTGCCTAACGACTTGGCAGTTTCTAATGAGAACTGTAAAAACAATCTATACTCTTTGATAAGGTAATTCACTCTTGGGAAAGTAAGAAGTGAGAATGCAAAAATAGCAAATGTAATAGCAAAAACTAGAAACAACCCTTAGTTCTGACAGTAAGAAAATCACCAACCTCACTGGGTTCTGTTAGTACAATGCAGAATTAAAGAGTGATAAAAATGATTAGAATGTCAAATATATATATAGAGAGAACTGTATATATATATATGGAACTATATATATAGTTTTTTGTTGTTGTTATTCCTTAAGAGACAAGGTCTCCTCTGTCACCCAGACTGGGGTGCAGTGGCGTGATCATGGCTCACTGTAACCCTGAACTCCTGGACTCAAGCAGTCTTCCCACCTCAGCCTCCAGAGTAGCTGGGACTAGTATGCCACCTCACCTAGTTAATTATTTATTTTTTGTAGAGACGAGGTCTATGTTGCCCAGGCTGGTCTCAAACTCTGGCCCAAGAGGTTGAGGCTGTGTTGAGCTGTTATCATGCCACTGCTCTCCAACCTGGGTGACAGAGTGAGACTGCAACTCAAATAATAATAATAATAATAATAATAATAATAATGTGGTGAAAGTGTGGCTGCAGAGATAACCACTCGATAGAAAAAGACTGGGACTGGCCGCAGTGCCTCATGCCTATAATCCCAGCACTTTGGGAGGCTGAGGTGAGAGGATTGCCTGAGCCCAGGGATTCAAGACCAGCCTGGGCAACTTGGTAAGACCACAACAAATCACAAAACTAGCCAGGCATAGTGGCGCGTGCCTGTAGCTTCAGCTACTTGGAAAGCTGAGGCAGAAAGATCGCCTGAACCCAGCAGATCGAGGCTGCAGTAGCCGTGAGTGTGCCACTGCCTTCCAGCCTAGGTGACAGAGTGAGACTCCTACTCAAAAAAAACAAAACAAAACAAACCCATGCCAATTGTAGGATGACTCCTTGATTAACCTCACCTACCTA